AACAATTTTCTGAGGGCAGATCTGCCTTCAAAAAACCGTTCTTACAGAGTAGACCATTTTTGGAAGGCAAATCTGCCTCCAAAAAAACATGTTTTGAAGGCAGGTCTGCCCTCAAAAAACCGTTCTTACAGAGTAGATCACGCCCGTTCTTACGGAGCTCCTGATCACGCCATCTTGGACGCCCGAGTTATCCGGGGTAACTCGGGTCCGGGGTAACTCGGGTTTGGACTCCCGAAAAACGAACCCGAGTTAGCCCTGACCCGAGTTACCCCTGATGATTCGGGGCTCTGGACGCCCGAGTTATCCGGGGTAACTCGGGTCCGGGGTAACTCGGGTTTGGACTCCCGAAAAACGAACCCGAGTTAGCCCTGACCCGAGTTACCCCTGATGATTCGGGGCTCTGGACGCCCGAGTTATCCGGGGTAACTCGGGTCCGGGGTAACTCGGGTTTGGACTCCCGAAAAACGAACCCGAGTTAGCACTGACCCGAGTTACACCTGATGATTCGGGGCTCTGGACGCCCAAGTTATCCGGGGTAACTCGGGTCCGGGGTAACTCGGGTTTGGACTCCCGAAAAACAAACCCGAGTTAGCCCTGACCCGAGTTACCCCTGATGATTCGGGGCTCTGGACGGCCGAGTTATCCGGGGTAACTCGGGTCCGGGGTAACTCGGGTTTGGACTCCCGAAAAACGAACCCGAGTTAGCCCTGACCCGAGTTACCCCTGATGATTCGGGGCTCTGACCATCTGCAACATGGAGGCCAATGAGCCCTTGGCCTCCTCGGCGGCGAAGGCGCGGTCGTCGGCCCCACATCCGAACTACCTGCTGAGGGAGACGAGTGCACTCTCAGCGGCGGCGGGCCTCAAACGATGTTTACCCCAGATTTCGTAATCAAAGGGAGGGGGTCTATTACGAAGGGGAGGAGGAGGAGGAGGAGGAGGAGGAGGAGGAGGAGGAGGAGGAGGAGGAGGAGGAGGAGGAGGAGGAGGGGTCTGGACCCTCCAGGACAAGCCACTTCAGACCTCCCCCGTGGGAGAACTCCCAAACATCGTCCCCGGACCCCCCAGGCCCTCCAAGATGGCCTGGAAGAGACCCCCCCCGAAATGAGACCCCCCTCCCTTTGTTACGAAATCTGGAGTACCTGGGTGGACACCGCACATCAGACAGCAGACGAGTTGTCTAGAAGGGAGCGGCGTGACTTGGTGCGCTCGGCGGGTGGGGCCTCGTCGAGTCGACCCTGACCAGTCTGCTCGGGTGACCGAGAAGACTTTAGAAGTGCATCGCAGTGCTGGGCTCCGGTTTTCGACTTGGGCCCTTCAGCGCGGCCTACGTCCCAGCGGCGCTGGCGAGTGGGGCGATCTTTGAGTTGAGTTCAAAAATGATCAGGTTGCACACCTCACTCCAGCTAAGTTCGTGAATACTGTTGCGTCAGTGGAGTTATTCTTCCCTCGGATGCGAGGAAAACTCCTTTGGAGCTGGTTGGGAGAGAAAGGTGGGACGCAAACGCACTGTGCCTCTCGGGAAGTTGCCAAGCAAGCTCCTCGGGGCCCACATAGCTGCCAGAGGACCCCCCCGCTTGGGCCTTGCTCTCATCGCGCAGTGCCACACGGGTTTGCGTCCCTCGGAGCTCTTGGGAATATTACCCGAGGACCTCATCTTCACGCGCGATCTGGGCGAGAACATCAATATCGCCTCGGTATCCATCGCTCTTGGGGCTCGGGCGGGGACGAAGCTCAGGAGGCCCCGCGTGGCCCGTGTCTTCCAGGAGGACCGGGGCATCGTGGAGGTGCTAGAGGACATCACGAAGGCCACCGCGGCTGGGACCCAGCTCTTCCCCTGCAGCTTGGCTCAGCACCGCAAGGCTCTCAAGGACACCGAGGGCTCGCTTGGATTATCCATGGGGCGGGGGCCTCACAGCCCCAGAGCAGGATGGGCCAGTGACTCGAGAGCCGAGGGGCTCGTTTGAAGAAGTTCGGGAGCGAGGGAGGTGGATTTCGGATGGGAGTTTGCGTATGTATCTCGACATCTTCGGTGCGAGCCACATCCTCACCCAGTTAAATACGAAGGGCTTCGCGCCACAGCTGTACTGGCTCAAGAGGGGCTGACGCCAGTACTTTCCAACGTTCATTTGGGGAGCGCATCAATTACAAGCACATGGCTCCCAAGGGCTACGTGAAGGACAAGACCGCTGGGGGCTGGATCTAGGGCCCCGAGCTGGCAAGGATGGAGAACGTACCACCTCTGCCGGGCACGCCTGGGACACCTACCAGCTGGATCCAGTGTGCCAGCGCTCCTTCGTCGGGGGCTGCGTCCAGAGCGGCTTCACCCAGGGGCGGTCTCGCTGGTGCTCACGCCGCCCAAGGCCAAGAGCCCTGGGATGTCGCCGCCGCCCACATTGCTCGCAGCACCCCTTCCGGAGGCAGCGGGCCATGCGCTAGCAGGAGGGCTGCAGTTCTACACCCAGACTCAGCCCATGTTGCAGCAGGCCAGGGTCCCGAAGGTGAACTTCGTCAAGATGGCTGTCAATTGCAGTAAGGCGGTCAAGTCAGTGTGTGGCCCGTGCTTCGTCCCTGCCATCATCCTCATGGTGCTCTTCGTCACTTTCCCGTCGAGCATCTTCCCTAACATGCCCAGGAGCGCCGAGGCTGCGGCGTCACTGGTGGAGGACGTGGCAGGGGCAGGTGGAGCTGTGGCACTCGCGGCCAGAAACCTTACCATGGCCGTGCGCGGTGTTGCGCTTTCACTTGCAAGGAATTCGGCTACGTTTGTTGACGAGGCGTGGTCGGGCATAGATCTGCTGGGATGTCGCCTGAACGTTACGGGCGGTCGCTTCGTCGTGAACATCGGGGCACGCTCTCGCCCTAGCATGATGAAGGAGCCCGACCGCGGCTTGACAGTGGTCCCGGATGACTTGGAGGTGGAGTTGTGGGGATCAATCAACGCTGTGCCAGCCCGGGCGCCAATGGCGGCACGGCTCTCCTCTCAGTTCAACTTTACGGAGAGCTTCTTCACCTGGGACTGGGAGGTGCTCCTTGTTGATGAGGAAAGTCTGGCAGTTCGCTATTATTTCGCTCGTTTGGGGTCTGAACTTCAGTGGGCCAATCCACTATGGGCCTTGACAGGTGCCGATCCGGGAGGTGAGCTGGAGCGCATCACGACCAGAGTCAAAGATGCAATTGAAACGGCGGTCGACGCCTCGGTGCTCAGGACGCCGCTCACCGCGCGCGAGGTACTCCAGCTGACCACCACTCGCCCACCCCTCTGGTTTCGTCTCGGCAAGTGGGCCCATTCTCAGTTCGATTGGCTGTGGTACGCTAGCGGGATTTGGCTCTGAGGTCCAGAGCAAAGCCATATGATGATTCAGGTCGGACACCGGGGTTCGGCATCATCTCAGAGCCAGTTCTTAGAGTACTGCTGGGAGTTCAGACTTCCTTTGATGAGTCGGATGAGGTCAATCAAGACTTGAAGCCCTCGGCCGAGGGATTTTGAATGGAGGCGAGTTTGCGACACGTCAGGACTGAAACTCGGCAGGTGATATGGCTTTGGTCATCTCGTGGTCTGCTGAAAATGGAATTGATTCTCGTGATAATCGTGAGTGACGCTTGCCGTTTCCTTCATTCTGTACAAGCATTCGCCTGCGGCACGCTGCCCTGCTGCACAGGCTTCGCCCGAACGTCCCTGGTCTTTCCTCGCCCCTCCCCTGGCCGCCGTGGGGGCGGTCTGGGGGTCGGGCGGGTGGGTTTCTTGAGGCTTCCTGAACTCAGCTCGTTTTGTACATTGTGTTATGTCTGCTAGATGTCGGGAGCGGCCAAGAGGGGGGTGTCCAAGAGGGGGGGGTGCAAATCATGACCGGCGGCATGTGCGCGGCCCAGCGGGGGGGCCAGGGACGTAATGAAATAAGAAGAGGCGCCATGAAATCTGGGGAACTATCATGGCCCCCGCCATGATATCCACCCCCCCCTAGTCATCACCCCCCTCTTTTCCGCCCCCGAAGATGGTGATCTGATAGGATATGGTATGTCATGCGGCATGCTGTCTGTTGTATGATATGTCATGTTATGGTATGACACGGCATGTTCAGCTGCGGTGAGCATGATGCTGCTGATGATGCTGATGATGTGCTCTTTGTTCGGGCCCTCGTTCAGTGCTATGCAGCGTAGGGGTCACGCACTAAGAGTAAACTGTAAGGAACAAATCGAGATCGCGCTCGACACGCAGAAGTGCGTCACGCCCGTCGTGCGGAGAATTCGCAGCTAGCACGAAAGTTCACGACGTTGCAGCATGCCCTGAGCCCAGGAGACTGATATGGCTCTGTTCGATAATCCGGGAATCTTCACGCATCAAGTGAGCTACGCGCCTTCGGCGCTAGCTGTGCAGCAGAACACCGTGTGGCCTGGCTGCAGCCTTCGAGGCGACAAGCCCCGAAGTAACGTGATAGCGCGAAGGCATGTCCCAGACGGTGCGAATTGCATGCGTCTCAGAACGGGAGGCCACGACTTAAAAATGCACCGGATAATATTATTCGAGACAACAACCGCCCTTAATCACCCTCACCCCCCCAATACTTCTTCTGATCCTTGCCATCATATGAGCGACAAGAAAAATGGTCTTAAGCGAGACGGCCTAACGACCTTGCGCGGTGGCTTACGCGAGCCGCCTGCGCGGCACGCCACAGTGGACAAGTTGGCACATGCGCGCGACCTGACGCGGGCAGCTTACGCGCGAACGTCGACGCAGTCGACTGCGTTGTCTGCGTCGCTCATACTACTCCCCCCCCGATCCAGCGGGTTGTCCCCGGTTCAACGTTTCCTCTTCCGAGCTCGCATGCGAACACTGCGGCGAAGGCTGTCGGCTCGAGGAGCAGCCAACCCAAAAAAGTGAGACGGCCCCACTGGTTCGCACACGGTCGGTTCCTCGCGGATGCCACGAGCGGCTGCCGTCCTCCGCCCGGGCACTCTCACGCGGAGCCTCGTCCACTCCCTCCCGTCGTGCCGCACCATGCCCCCCCTCCTTGGCACCCTGAGAAGACGAGCCGACCAACAAGTGAGGCGCTCAAAACTCAAAGCAGCGATCTCGCTGCGAAGAGACCGGACAGGCCACCTCTAAAAATCCCACCAGCCCTCTGGGCGTTGGTGGTCTAGAGCGTTTCCTCTTCAACCTCCCTTCTTCCCTTTCGGCGAGGGGTTTACCCCTCCCCCTGCCCCCTCCCCTGGACCTGGACGGGGCGCCCTACGAGCGGGCAGGGCGTCCAAAACAGCCTCGGCGAGGAAGCCAAAATCATTGGTGTTACTATGGATTTGGCTCCATTTTGGCCTCTTGTGGGGGGCGCTAATTAGGGACCTCCCCTTCTTTGATCGATCTCCTCCGAGATGGCTCCACGAGCGCTCCCAAGGCTCCCAAGGGTGCCCCAAGAGCTGGCCAGGAGGCCCCAAGAGGCTTCCAAGAGGCCTCCGGGATGCCCCAAAGAGGCTCCCAAGAGACCGCCAAGAGGCCCCAAGAGGCCCCCCAGAGGCACCCAAGACGCTCCAAGAGGCCTCGGCGACAATGCCACAATCATTGACTTCACTAAGGTTTTGGCCGCATTTTGGCCTCCTGGGGGGGGGGCACTGCTTCAAATGTCTCCAAGAGCGCCCGGGAGAGCCCAAGATGACCTCCAAGATGGCTCAAGCTATCCCAATATTCCTCAGGATGGCTCCCACGATGCTCCAAGAAGCCCCAAGACCGCTCCAAGACGGCTCCAAGTGGCCAAAGAGCTCCCCCAGGAGGCCCCGAAGAGGCCAAAATCCGTCCAAAACCTCAGAAGGATCAATGTTTTTGGCTGTCTCGCCGAGGCCTCAAGATGGGTCCCAGGATGGCTCCAAGATCGCTCCCAGGCTCGAAGAGCGCTTCAAGAGGGGCCCAAGAGGCGCCCAGGAGGCCCCAGGAGGCCCCAACAGGCGCCCAAGAGGCCTACAAGAGGCTCCCAAGAGACCCCCCAAAGGCCCCAAGAAGCTCTGCAAGGCACCCAAGACGTTCTAAGAGGCGTCCGGGACCGCCAAGAGGCCCCCAAGACGCTCCAAGAGGCCTCCACTAGGGGACCCTTCCTCTGTGTGCTGCCCACTTCTCTGATCGAGGCAATTCCTCTGGGCATCGCTTCTGGATGGGCTGGTGGGGTTACGCGAAGCGTCTAGAATTTATCCCATGCCGCAGACGTGCGGCTGCACAACATAAACACTGGCAGCATTGCCAATGCGTGAGGCGACCTCCAAACGCGCACTTCACGTCGAAAAAAATTGGAGCGCAAAGGGGGAGGAAAGGCGGAATGTCCCGCCAACGTGCAAAGCTTCGGCTTCCCAACTGACGGGAGGGGGAACCCACGATGCAACAGCTCACCAGGGAGAGGGAGGAGGGGGAGGGGGCAAAGCTCACGACAAACTGCTGTAGCGCCACAACACACTTCCCCAGGGCCAGCCCCTCTCTCCTGGTCACCGCAGAGAACGGAACAACATCTCTGCGCCGCCAATGAAAACCCACGGCGCGAATTCGGCCACAAAAGAACGGCCAGAGGCTCATAAATGGTCCGCTAAAGTCGCATGGACAAGCGGCAGAAAGATCCTCGAGCGCGCTCAATGCGCCCCTTCCTCGACGCAGCCGTTGAAGCAGGAACCCACAATGATCCCCTCCATTCCGATCTTTGCTACTACGTCCAGGACGCACAGGATGATGTCCTCGGTAGGCTTCGTGATGAGGCCCAGGTGCGCACGCCCCATGCCCACGATGATCGGATAGAACGACCAAACCACGATGGTGAGCATCTCGAGCTGCTTGAAGAGGTTGGCGGCCACCTCGATCTGTTTGCTTGCCTTGTACCCCACGTCGACTTGGAGCGACACCAACAACATGATATAGAAAAAGCATGAAAAGGCGAACCAAACCTGCTTCAAATGCTTGTGCGGCTTCCACGGCATCAACGCCGCGATGATGCCCGTGGCGAGCATCAGTAAGTCGCTCATGATGACCATGATTATCATAGGTGTGGTGGCGTGCGCAATGTGGCAGAGCTCATATAGCATCAGAGGTGTTGTGGTGATCCAGTCAATGTAGCGAGCAATGGGTACCAAATCTCCCTTTATGACCATGTCTCCCATGTGGCAAGATTTCGCGAAGTATGTCATTGCCGCTATCGCGGTCACAAAGAAGGTGTTCACAAACGATTCCTCGTTCTCGTGGCGTGCCCACAGGCAGAGCATAGTAAGACAGGCGAGGGAGAAGGCGGCACAAGTTATGCACTCAGCATACCAGGCAGCCCTGTGCAGCGGCGTCTTCCCGTGGTGCTGCTTCATCGTTGTCCTGCGTCGGTTTGAGATCAAGCGCCACGGCTTGCGGCTCACACGATATTCTTTCGAGCTGGCGTTGCTGGCCTCACCCCCGCTCTGCTTACTGTCGTCGCGCAGTGCAACTTTCTCCTGCTTCCTGGCCGCGTGCGGATTCTCGATGTCCCATGTTGAACCATCTGGCGTCGAGCCTGCCTTGCTCGCATCACAATCATCCTCGCCCTGCGCCGTGCTGGCTGACTCCTGCTTCTCATCCTGGCCGAACCGCTCGCTCGAGGGCGCCCCGGACTCGCGCGCGGACCTCAGCTTCAGCTCGGACAGCCGCCCCTCCTCCTTCACCTCAGCGTCGTTGACCGCGTGTTGCTCCTTCCCCGCCCTGGCCGCAAAAACGTCGATCGCCGGCACCTTGGAAGCAATTACCCCCTCCGCTGGGATCTCGAAATCATCGGAGCGAGGGGTGATGGATAGGCTGTCGGGCATCGGCGGTGGCAACGACCCCTGGATCTTCGGGATATTGACAAACGATTGAGTCAGCTCCGACGGCGGCGGCGGCGCGTCCTCCGTCGGTCCAAAGTTCAGATCCGACGCGGGTGCCGACGCCATCGGCGGCGTCGGCATGCCCTCCATCGCAGCTTTGGGCATTGGCGCGTCCTCCATCGTCGCGTGCATGGGTATACCACGAGTGCAGATAGGGGACGCGCGTGCTTGAGCTCTTGAAGGAAGATGGCCTGATCTCTGAGGGCGCTTGAGCCAAAATGTCTACGGATGATGATGATAATGATGATGATGCTGATGATGATGTTGTTGTTGATGATTATGACACTTTTGTTGATGCTGATGCTGATGCTGATGCTGGTGCTGGTGCTGGTGCTGCTGCTGCTGATGAAGTTGATGATCATGATGATGATGATGATGATGATGATGATGATGATGATGATGATGATGATGATGATGATGATGATGATGATGAAGATGACGGAGCAATGTTTGAGGATGTCTCGAGCGAGGTGCGGGTTTCAGTATCCCCAAGGGGGAGCAACCAAGGGGTATTGCACTCCTCCGTTCGCGCCAAAATTGCAGGGATTTCACAAAATTGCCTGTTTTGGTGCCCGGCATCCTCTGCGTTTGGAGCAGATTTGGAGGATGTCGTCTCGAGCGAGGCGCTCACTTTCGCCCCCAAGGGGAGCCAAATTGTGAGATGCCTAGAGCGGTTTGCCTATGTTGCCGGCCAGACTCCTGGGCACGGATCCTCTTCAGGATGCCACGGGAGGCTCCAGCAGGCTCCAGGAGGCTCCAGGAGGCCACAGGAAGTACCAGAAGGTATCAGGATGCCACAGGAGGTCACAGAAGGCCCCGGGAGGCTCCAAGAGGCCCAGGATGCTCCAAGAGGATCCAGCAGGCTCCAAGAGGGTCCAGGAGGCCCCAGGAAGCAACAGGAGGCCACAGGAGGCAGCACGAAGCGTCAGGAGGCCCGAGGAGGCCCGAGGAAGGCCACACGAGCCCCCACGAGGCCCCAGGAGCAGGCAACAGGAGTGGTTATAATCCCTGTGCTTTACATGTGTTCCTATATGTTAGGCCTCCCCTGGAGCACGAATCCGTGGTGTTTTGTGCATGTTTCTGTAGATTGTCGGTCTCCTGCGCATTCACTCCGAAGTGTTGTATGTATGCTCCTATAGATTGGGCCTCGCCTAGGGCACGAGTCCTTTGTGTTTTACGTTTGCTCCTATAGATTTCTCCTCTCCTGTGGTTCCAATCCGAAGTGTTTTACATATGTTCCCATAGATTGGGCATCTCCTGGGGCACGGATCCTCCCCAGGAGGCCCCAGCAGGCTTCACGATGCTGCTGGAGGCCCCAGGAGGCCACGCGAGGCCCCAGGAGGCCTCAGGAGGCCACAGGAAGCCCCAAGAGGCCCCAGGAGGCCCCAGGAGGCCCCAAGAGGCCCCAGGAGGTTTCAAGAGGCCCCAGGAGGCCCCAGCCTCATGCGCAGAGACGCACGAATACTATTGAGACTCATTCACATTCCAATCCGTTCACAATTAGATTAACTCCCACACCGTCAATACTCAATCCCGCTTATAGTCGAACACTATTGCGCCAAGACGCTTACGGCCGACAGGTCCATGCTAATGTATGCACATACGCGGAGCTCCACGCAGTTATTAATTACTGTGATCGCGCGGACCTCACTCTCACACCTCCTCCTCCCTCATCCTCCGCCGCCTGATGATATGACATGGTATGTTATGTTACGTCATGTTGCGTTATGCTAGGTTATGGTATGGTATATGTTATGATGTGATGTTGGTGATGATGATAATAATGATGATGATGCTGCTGATGATGATGATTATGATGATGATGTTGATGCAGATGAAGATGGTGAGTATGATGAAGAGAAATATGCTGATGATGATGATGATGTTGCTGCTGCTGTTGATGATGCTGATGATGCTGATGATAATGATGCTGATGATGATGCTGATGATGGTGGCGGCAGAGCAGTTTCTGAGGATGTCTCGAGCGGTTTGCTGGTATCAGCACTCCTCAGGGAGGCCGCCAGGGGTATTGCACGGCCTCCGTTCGCGCCCAAATTGCGGGGATGTCTCGGGCGGTTTGCCTGTTTCGGTGCCCCAGCACCCTTCGCATTCGGAACAGATTTGGAGGATGTCTCGAGCGGTTTGCTGGTTTCACCACTCTGAAGGAAAGGCCGCCAGGGTGTTGCACGGCATCCTGTCGCGCCCAGGTTGTGGAAATGTCTCAGGCGGTTTGCTTGTCTCGGTGCCCTAACATCCTTCGCTTCCGGAGCAGGTTTGGAAGATGTCTCGAGCGAGGCGCCCCTGTTCGCCCCCAAGTGGGGCCACAATGTGAGGATGTCTCGAGCGGTTTGCCTATTTGGGTGGTCAGACTCGTGGGCACAGATCCTCTCCAGGATGCCATGGGATTGGGCGCCCGAGTTATCCGGGCTAACTCGGGTCTGGGGTAACTCGGGTTTGGATTCCCGAAAAAAGAACCCGAGTTAGCCCTGACCCGAATTACCCCTGATGATTCGGGGCTCTGGACGCCCGAATTATCCGGGGTAACTCGGGTCCGGGGTAACTCGGGTTCGGAATCCCGAAACACGAACCCGAGTTAGCCCTGACCCGAGTTACCCCTGATGATTCGGGGCTCTGATAGGAGGCTCCAGCAGGCTCCAACAAAAAACCCAGGAGGCAGCATGATCAGGAGGCCACAGGACGACTCAAGAGGCCACAGGATGCCCCAAGAGGCTCCGCTCCAGGAGGCCCCAAGAACCTCCAGAATGCCTCAGCGGAGGAGAAGGAGGAGGAGGAGGAGGAGGAGGCGGGTGAGGAGGAGGAGGATGAGAAGGAGGAGGAGGAGGCTCCAGGGGGCAGCATCATAGAATTGTTGACGCTTTGCGTATCTTCATCAGCGGTTTTCCTAATTGCATCCCTCGCTGGCACATGTTCAACGTTGTTAATTCTCTGCTGCTGGCACATGCTTGGCCGGCACTTGTGCTGCGCCGTTAATTATCTGCTTCCCGTGCGCTGTGTCCCAGCCCTCGTTCTTACCGCCCTCTGGACTTTTCCTTGCGGGCCGCGAATCAAAAAAAATATCTTCATCAGCCACCTGCGGGTTGACCCGTGGCCGCCTCTTTCTAATTTATCTGCAGGTGCACTCTGCGCGGTGTCGCGCCAATTATCTGTCGCTGTGCCCCAGCCTCGGTCATATCGCCCTCTGGACTTCTCCTTGCGGGCCGCGAATCCAAAAAAAGTATCTTCATCAGTATCCATCTGTGTGCATTCTGGCACATCCATCTGGGGCAACCAGAATCGACGGCCATCAGCCGTAACCCTGGCGGCGTGGGATCCGCGGGAGCTCAAGGCACTCTTGCCTCCTGGTGCCCCTGCCCTCCTCCCGGCTCCGGCTGTCCGAAAGAGGCTCCCCTGGAGACACCGGGCCCGTCAGGACTGGGGGGACCTAAACTTTGCTGTGCGTCCAGGCGGCTGCGCGTTGGGCGGAGGTAGGGGCGGCAGTGGCAGCCCTCAGCAGCTGGTAATGGCAAGCGAACTCGTACATACGGCCATCAGCCGTACCCCTGGCCTTCCCACGCGACGGCTCTCGACCCGCCTCGCGTGCCTGGTGGCCCCACGTTTCCCACCTGCCCATCCTGAAACGGTGCCCCGATCGATCCGCGCGCTCTGGCGAGTACGGTTCTCGTGGCAGCCGTCCGCTGCACCCTGGTTCTCCAGATTTTTACACAGGCGTCAGCTGCACCCTGGTTGCATGTAGCAACGTTACAAGAACATCTGGCCGTCCGCCGGATCCGTAGCAGTCTGCAGGGATGCCAGGCCTCAACCCAGGGCGAGGAATGTCACGAGAAGGTGATGTGGGCGATGCGGACGGGCATCAAAACACCCAGAGTAGTATCTCCCACGTTTGAGTAACTCCAGCCTCGATGGGCTTCCAGCAGCACGAGCAGGCAACGGACAAGCCCCCGGACGCTTGCCCCAAACCTGTGCTGCGGCGCAGGCCAAGGAGCGACCGTTAGAGCAGTTGCCTGCGTGACAGAGGAATGCCGCGCCAGTGGCGAGGGCGACGAGTGCTACGAGAAGGTGGAGTGGGCGACGAGGACGGGCATCGAAAACATCTGGAGTGGTCCCTCAGACGAGTACTCCAGCTTCGAGGACTTCCAGCAGCGCTTGCACGGCGTGGACAGGTCTCCGACGTTCGTCCCAGGCCATGTACGCCGGCGCAGTCCGAGGAGCGTCCGATGGTACAGTTACGTAACCATTGCCAGAGGAAAGCCGCACCAACGTCGAGGGCGACGTGTGCTACGAGGAGGTGGAGTGGGCGATGCGGGCGGGCATCCAGAACACCTGAAGTGGTGTCTCCCTAAACACCTCAAGGGCTGGAAGGGTCACCCTAAAATCCGCCCCGTTTTAGGGTGACCCTCCCTGGCTCAAGGCCGCTCGCGCGCGTCCGCCCCGTTTTAGGGCAATGCCGACAATAATACATTCAGATGACTTGCTCACGTCGGTCTACCCTCGACACAAACAAGATGGTCGTAATCGCCAGTGTGGTACACTAAGTTCGCTGGCAACAGCGTAACAGGTGCACCAGTGCGCAGCAGCACCAATGGCACCTTTCCAGGACACTTATGGCGAACCACCGAAGCTCCCCGCCTGTTAGATTCGCGCGTTCGGCTGTTGTTGTGCCTGTGGTCGGCCCGGCGCTGGCTTCCCACGCGACGGCTTTCGACCCGCCTCGCGCGCCTGGGGGCCTTGGTTCCCCCGCCAATCCATCCAGAAACGATGGCTTCCCGCGGGGACAATCAGAGTTGTCGGCTTTGAGCCGCAGCCCTGGCGACGAGAGATCGTCAAGACCCCAGGCGGCCGTCAGCCGCACCCCTGGTGCACCGAGACCCACAATAGCCCAGACGGCCGTCAGCCGTCACTCTGGCTCTCCCTCCATACACGGAGTTGTCGAGGCCTATGGCCACCCTGGCCAGCCAGCGTGATAGAAGACCACAGGCGGCCGTCAGCCGCACCCCTGGCACTTCCCTCTCGAGCGGATCCGAAGAGGCCGACAGCCACCCTGTCGAAAAGCAGGCACTTTGGTAGGGATCGGCACTCGGCCGAGTACTGATCCCTACCTATCGGGGATGGACAGACCCCCCTCCAGCAAAACGTGGTTTAGTGAGAGTCTGCCCAGGCGGGCACGGATCGCTGATAAGGATGCTTTATACCCTTGATCCAAAAAGGG